TGTTGAAAACCTGCTGAGCTTTCTTCCATCATATGATGGATATCATCAGAGCTGGGTGTCATTCTTGTAAAAGTCAAACGTTAACACTAGGCCAAGCTTGGCTAGTGTTATTTTATCCTTATAAATAGTCCTGATATCCCACTTGGCCACCTTTCTTGTCTTTGCGTTTGGCAAATTATCGTAATGCATGGTATCCTGCTCTGACGATGTCCGTCACGTGACGGACTAAGGCTTAGCAAGGATTTATTGGGGTCGCAGGGTGATGCGCCGAGGACCTATTGGCACGAATATACGATCACAGCTCCAGGGCACTCGAGCTACAGCTTCCGGTGAGACCAACGTACGAATCCCTTTCACAGACCTCCTCAAATGAAATGAAGGGTACTTTAACATGAATTTATTTAGTAATTCTTCAAAAACAAGTTTTCCTATCTTAATAGTTTGTTCATGCAAGAGGAAAAGATGTGGCCAATTTATGAATCTCATATAAATTATCAAAAGAAAATAAAGATCATTTAAGTTGTATATGTTGAATAAAAACATCATCTTATGGTGAAGGTTTAGAGATAGGTCTTTCAAAGGAATCGAAAAAAACTACAACGGCAAGCGAAATATCCGTGTATAACAAGGTTTGAATCCAAATTTGTATATTTTTTATGTAGGACTAGAATAATGGAGATGTTCTTTTATCCTAAAGAGTGCAAGTAACAGGGACCTACGAAGATGAGTCAGCTATGCTTCTACAAAAGTTTGAATTATGCTAGAATTCGCGAGTGATGATACGATGCAAATAATCCTGATTGGATTGCGTTATCCTGATCCAAAGAAATAAGGGTATCATCCTTTTACCCGCAAAAGAACTCTGTTTCTTCAATTATCTGATGAAAGACAGTTTCTTTTTAGATTAGAAACAAAATTATTTTGGGGTATAAAGTATATCCTTTACTATAGGGCCAAAATGGGTCTATTATTACCCACGCGACACAAATGGGCAAAATTTCATACCACCTTTGATGCATGTTTGTATTCCTCACTCAAACGCAGCTCCTATTCGCAAAAAACTACCGATTAATGCTTTTAACAGGCCCTGATCTTTTTAACGAGAACTCTGAGGGATTGTATTACAACACAATTTGACTGGGTCAGCATAGTTGTATAAGCAAGGGTTAATTCGAATCCTGATCAATGAAGTAGGACGCTATTGAAACAGAAATTAGTACTCACCAAAATGCAATTATGCTTTTGTAATCCTAACTAGGTAAACGTTTTTGTATTGCTATAGTATACCGGTACTCGATCCTATATGAGAAAAGAGGACTAATACAATAACTTGTGTGGAATAAAATAGATTAAAAATGAGAATAAACATCTTCGTCAGGCGTAAACTGGTGCCGTGCTAAAAGTCACCTCCGTTCCGAGCTCCTGATACAAATTTAATTGCCAGTGTGTGTCAGCTTTTGATTGTTTGCTGGCTGATGGTCTGGCCGGATTTGATTACTAAGTCTGGTAGGCTCAATTTGAAGCTTGTGTGGGGGTGGTGATAATGTGGTGGATCGGTCAGTTCAGAAGCAGTATTCAGAATAAAAGATATTTTTATGTCATTTTTATATTAAATAAGAAAGCTGTAAGCTGTAATGAGACTAATAAATGTAGTGAGAAAGACTTAGTGTGGGTAACTACAATACTGGATTAATTAGGAATTTAAAATAATTCGAAATGCACTTAACAAGCATTACAGAAGTTCGTTATTGTCAGGTTAACCTAGATGTCTGTAATCATAAGAGTAAAGACAGAACATAGTGGAAAAAAATCAAAAAACGTCAAGATTAAATTCGGCTGATATAATCAATACCTGGATATCGGACAAAGCTCTTTGTAGTTCTTTGATTTCGTTGTCACGCTGATGTAGTTCACAAGTTAAGGTCTGTTGGTTGGAAATCGAATCAGCAACCTGATCCAAGCGACGGCAGACATCCTCCTGATTGCTTGTAAGTTGTTCAACTTTATGCCTATAGAATGAGAGAAGTTCATCTTCCGAGGTTGGTATATTGCTAAGACGATCTTCTGAGGGATCATTAGATGTCGGAACATCACAGACTGAAATTAGATCGGGCTATGATGAAAAATAAAGGCGAACATATATAAGAAATGATTATGTGATATTAAATGAAATACACCTTGGAAATAGACACCTGAATAGAAAAAAGCGTAATTTTCTAAATAAGTGAATAACAATCTGGGGAAGATATGTTGAAAAAACAAGTCTCGAAGAATCCCTTAATAGAATTATGTTAAAGTAACTTTCATTACGTGTGAAGAGGCGAGTGGAAGGTATTTGTAAATTGGCCTCATTGAAACCCTCGAAACTGTGACTGTAGATTTGTGCAAAAGCGTTATTGGCACGCCGCTCAGCGACCCAGTTAAATCCTCGCCAGGTTTCGTCTGTAGTATGACGGACATCGTGTGAACAGGACACCATGCTTTACGGTAAGTGACCAAGACACGAAGACAGGGGAGGTAGCCGGTCGTGTGTTGGTGAATTATTGTAAAGCATGGTGCCATGCTCTTAAGGATGTCCTTTACACAATGGACGAAGGCCTAATGGGGATTCCTCAGGGTCGCGTAGCGGTGCGCCGGGGATGCACGACGGCGCAATCCTCTGCAATCACAGATCCGAGGCAATCTCCCTTAAGCTCCTCGTGAGGCACACTTACGAATCCCTTCCACTCGCCCCTTTTAATAAAATAATTTGGGAGATTTGGCATTGATCTATGAAATGTTTTATTTAAATACCTAAGAAGTGCAGCTGAAGTAATAAGGCAACATATTCGAGGATTACGCTTTTGAAATCCATACAATTCAGATGAGTTAAAATCATTTTCTCATAACTAAGCGCCCTGTGGCCCTGATTAATTCACTGGAGGACAATGAGTCGAATTCTTTTTTGCAAAATGCAGCGGTAGCAACTTCAAGGCAATCCTAATTCGGTTTTAAGTGATACTAATTTACGAATCCCTTCCACCGACTTTTCAAAGAAATGAAATGTACTACTAAGGTACACCTCGAAACCTAGCTTCTCTACATATGCATAGTGTTTACTACTTTTTATTCGGAATATTGGTAAGTAAATTATTCACAAGAGATAGAATTAAAGTTCGGTTAAAGGATTTTAAAAAGTTTTAAATAAAATTTAGAAGTGTTTACGACAACCTATTGAATGTGAGTATTTACACTATCAGATTCTCAAGTGGCAAACGGTGGATATCCTGATATTCTCAACTATGCTATTTGCGATGAATTCACCTCCAAAATAAACCATTTCCAGACATTTTAAAAAAGGATAAAAGCAAAATAAAGTGAAAATAAAGTCAATATTATTTCAAATTTATTTACAATCAAGATGATTTGCGCTCCGCCATTGAGCAGCTTTACATAAAAACGCCTCCAGCTGCCAAATAGTGTTATAAAAATAAGCTGTCACATTACTTTACCCACAGACACAAATTTATTGTAATCTAGGATCACATATTCATTAGAGAGAATGAAAGAAGGTGATTCAATGAGGAAGAGTTCTTCAAGTAATCA